GTGGTGTGCACCTGTCGTCCCAGTTACTCAGGAGGCTGAGGCAGGAGGATCACTTGAGCCCATGAGTTGGACTCCAGCCTGGGCAACATAGTGAGATTTCATCTCTAAAAAAATTATTTTAAACAAAAGCAATATGTGTACAACGTTTACAAATCACTAACAGTGTATTTAGATAGGATTCAATGAAAAACAATAGCCTCCTGCCCCAGCTCTCCCTAAGCCTAGTCCTCAGCCAATTTTATTTTTACCCTTTTAGCTATTTTTTCTGATAGTTTTCTTCATATTTGTACTGTTTCTTGATTTAGCAGGCTGAGATATTTAAGGTACAAAGCTGACCATGACTCCCGTGCCTGAAACTGCTGGCTGCCCTTTGGAATAAACTCACTAGGGCTAACCAAGCCTGCGTCTTTTGACCCTCCTGTCACCCTTATCTACTTTTGCATTTTGTGCTCCCCCACACACATGCATTTTCAATTTTTGCATCTTTAGAATGTCCACTTCCTGGTATTTGTGCCATTGTGTAATCCACTTTCTGGAAATGTGGGTTGACCTTAGTGACTTCCTTTCTAAGGAGTAGAATTTGTCAAAAGTGATGAAAGGTGACTTCTTCCGTAGTTAGGTAACAGGAAGACTCTGGTTTCGGTCTTGCTCATTGTCCTCTCCTGTTCTCTGGCTTGCTCTAGGAGAAGCCAGCCACCATGTTGTAAACGGTCCTATGGAGAGGCCCACAGAGCAAGAAGCTGGATAGTAACAACAACAGTCTGCAAAGGACTGAATCCTGCCAACACCTTGGGAGTGAGCTTTGCAGTGGACCTGCCCCCGGTTGGGTCTTCAGGTGATACTGCAGCCCTGGCTGACACCTTGATTGCAGCTTTGTAAGAGACTTCGAGCCAGAGGACCCAGCTCAGCCCAGAATCCTGACCTGCAGAAACTGTAAAATAATAAATGTTTGGTATCCTAAGGTGCATTTATGTTGGCGTGATTTGTTATACAGCAACAGATAGCAATATTAACTATTATGCCATATTTTTTTTCTGTGCATTTTTAGAGTTTTAAATTTTCCCCCCTGTTAACTCCTCTGGCCCATACCATCAAAAACTATGTTGACAGGCAGGTGTTCCTCCCATATGTGTTTCATATAATCATATACAAAATATTACACACCTGCGGAACTTATTAGGGCATTACATTCTTTTTTTCTTGAATACCTTAAACAGTGTTTTCTGGCTTTGTTTCAGACACAGGCACCCAAAGTCCCCCTTGTGTCTGTCAAGTATGTAATAGTTGTGCCCTCCTCCCTGCCGAAAGGAAATATTAATACTAAAGACTCATCTAGTTTACATAACCGATTAGCAGCAGCTGGGAAGAACAGCAGACCTGTACATGCTTCTATTTGTTTCCATGGGAATCTAGGACTGTGCTTTAGGGTCTTAACAAACACAGGCAGTCTATCTAAAGTAAGTAAAAAAAAAAAAAAAAAAAAAAAAGAGAGAGAGAGAGAAAATAAATATATAAAATAAAAATATAAAATAAAATTAAAAAAAATAACAAACACAGGCAGCACTGAACAGTAGAGCACGTGCTACTCTGAAAACGCAGGGCTTCAGGACTATCTGTGCTACCGACTGCAACATGCAAATGCTTTTATTTTAAACAAATATCCCAGCCTCTCTACAGCCAAATGAGTATTGTTCTTCCAAGCGGACGTTGTTGAAATAGTTTCTGGAATCCTTCTTTGAGAATTGGCTTCCCCAGTCTGTTTCCACGAAGTATAAGAACTCTGGGCTCAGTCCTTTGGTCAGTCCTCACTTTGTGACCCCTTTCCCAACCCCATTCCCTAGCTGGGGACCCTTCAGTGCTCTGGCTAAAACGCCCCCTCCTCAGGACAGCCTTGTGCTGAGGCAAGTTCCATTGTTTCTGCTACTTGCTCCCAGGGCTCTTTCCGGGGTGACACTTGTCATGAAGTGCTGTGATCACCTTTCCCACTGACAGACTGAAGGCCCCGTGAGGGCAGGCACTGGTCCCAGCCCTAGCACACAGTGAGCTCCAATAAATACCTATTAAAAGAATGAATCCATTGGCCGTTGCCTGTTCACAAAAATCAAGTCCATTCTCAAAGGACCAAAATTTGTTACCTGTAATAGAGAACAACGGCCAACATTTATTTATTGGGAATTGAAAGTCGAAACACTGGGCTTTTAATATTGCGTTATTTTATTTCATTCAATCCTTGCAGCAATCCTAGGGAGTGAATATGGTTATCTCCGTTTTACAGATGAGGAAACTGAGTCTCAGAATAATGAGATAGCTTGCCCAAAACCACACAATTTGGACACTGTTCACCTCCCACGTGCAAACCATTGTGCTATACCATTTTTCCTTTCTCTATATGTTTTTTGTTCTTACTTTTTAAAATGTTCTGGAAATTTTAAAAAATTGATATATACAAAGAAAACTATCAATCATTCATATTTCTAACAAGCAGGATTAGAAATGATGTTAACATCTTGGCATATTTTTTTTCCAGCTTCTTCTTTTTTTCAATTTCTCCATCCTGCTTTGTTGAGAACATTCAGAAGAGTGTGTGGTGAAGGCCCCAGAGCCACTGCTGAAGAAAGGCAGAGTGGCATTTTGGGTCATACGGCCACGCTGGGATAACTTTACTGTCTCCCAAGGTGGCATCAGGGGAGTCCGAGTGTGTTGTGGAAAAGCCAGTCTGATCTGGCAGCACCACCTGCAAATGCCCCATGTGGGTGGAGAGGATCCTAGGGAAGGAGCCCACTTCCTGTACCCCCAGGTGCTTATTCGCCTAAGCGCTATAATTACCCCACCCACTGAACTGGCCCTAAGGCCACCTGTTCCTGGAAGGACACTCAGAGCTGTCACCCCTCTGCAGGGCACCCCCTCCTCCTTCCCTTTTTCAGTCCTGATCTTCCAAATTGTGTGCGTGTGTGTGTGTGTGTGTGTGTGTGTGTGAGAGAGAGAGAGAGAGAGAGAGAGAGAGAGAGAGAGAGAAAGAGAGAAACAGACAGACAGACAGAATCAATGCACCAACTAAAGACACTGTCCCCTCTCTGACCCAGCGAGCAGCATGCCCCCCCACGGCCACCTTCCACTTGGTTCTGCCTGGATCGCAGCGCGCATTTTTGCGCATTAGACCTACTTACACTTCTCACTCCCTGTCAGACTGGGAGTTCCTCAAGGACAGGGACTGCTTTTAATACATCTTTCTCTCTGCAGTACTTAGCATATTTGACATATAAAAGATACTCAGTAAATAAAGACATCAGCTGTGGGAGAATGAAAAAATGCTTGGAATCAGATAGACCTGGTTCAAATTCTAGCTCTGCCACATATTAGCTGTGTGACTGTGGGCGAGCAACTTAACCTTTCTGAGCTTGGATTTGCTTATTGGCAAAGTGAGGGCAATAATATTTACTTTTGAGTTTGACCAATGAAGTTGGTCAAATGAGTTTTTTATTTATTTTATTTTATTTTATAGACAAAGTCTTGCTCTGTTGCCTGGGTTAGAGTGCTGTGGAGTCAGCCTAGCTCACAGCAACCTCAAATTCCTGGGCTCAAGTGATCCTCCTGCCTCAGCCTCCTGAGTAGCTGGGACTACAGGCATGCGCCACCATGCCCGGCTAATTTTTTTCTATATATTTTTAGTTGTCCAGCTAATTTCTTTCTATTTTTTTAGTAGAGACAGGGTCTTGCTCTTGCTCAGGCTGGGAAATGAGTTTATATGTTAAACACTTTAGTGTAATTCATGGCAAAGACCATGCAATATTTCTAGACCGTAGTGAGAATTAGCGGCCTGGGTTCTGTTCTAGGCTTTGCCATAGTCCTAGAGCAAGTTTTTCAACTTCTCTGGAGCCCAGCGCCCTCATCTGTAAGAAGTGGGGGATACCCACCTCACAGAACTGTTGAGCACTTTAAATAAAAAGTAATACACATGATGGCTGGGCGTGGTGGCTCACGCCTCTAATCCCAGCACTTTGGGAGGCTGAGGTGAGAGGATCATTTGAGGCCAGGAGTTTGAGATCAGCATGAGCAACATAGTAGGACCCTATCTTTACAAAATATAAAAAAAATTAGCCAAGGGTCCCTCTTGAGCCCAGGAATTCAAGATTATAGTGAGCTACGGTCACACTACTGCACTCCAGCCTGCCCAACATAGTGGGACCCGTCTCAAAATTAATAACAATAATCCACACCAAAGGATTTGGCACACAGTAGGTCCTGAGGGAAACCTGTGTTTCACTGTCTAGACAAACTCACGCTCCCCTTTATACTTCGGGATCTTTCAGCTGCAACCACAAAAGGGGACGGCGTGTGGCACCCAGTGTAAGGCTGGTGGCAGGCCCCCCTCCCCTCCCTAGATCAAAAAGAAAAGGTTCATGAGACTAGATCTGCCAGGGACAACTACCAGGCTCCGCTGAAAAACAAACAACACCTGATGTCCACCCAGATAAGAAAGTTTTCGGTTCCTGGATTCCACAAATACCACCAGCCCCTCCTATTTCTCAATGACCACCAAAGGTCACCCCAGCTCTTCCCACCAAAAGGCCCTAGCCCACCCCAAACAGTATAAAGACCCGCACTCTCTCCAAATGGATGCGACTTCTCATGCCCCCCTCTCTTGGGACCCGGGAACCTCGTCCAGGAGCGCACAATAAAGCCACATTGTTTGGCCTCACTCTCTTTCTCTCTGTTTCTTTCACTGCTGGAAAACTTTACACCCAGCTCCACCATGAGCCCAGGACACACTTTAGAAAGGGTTGCTGGCAGGTAGGCCCAGCCTGGGGGCCTCCCGGCTGGAGAACGCAGGGGCAAGAGGCCCGGAAACTCAGCTCTCCACACCAAAAGCTGCACGGTCCCCAGGTGCCCATTTGTGCTCACAGCAGAAAAGGTCCAGGTCTTCCATCTTCCGATGAAGACAAATCCCCCTGTCCCTAAGAGCTTCAAGCAATGATAGAGACAGAGAGTGAGACACGTTCTTCTGAATCAAGACGTTCTGTGACAATGTTTATAATTTAAAAAGTGGCTCGGAACAGGATAGAAGCTTGGGAAGGCCATGGGGAAGCCATCCAGACTTGGCTGGAACTTTAAAGAGGGCCTATGAGAAGGAAGGGAAGGGGTGGGGTGTTGTGAGGCTCAGGGAGGACAAGGTGGGGTGCAAGGAGGGGCTGGGCTTAGGCTGCAGGGAAGCTCGTCACCACCTTAGTAGAAGACCACAGTGCTTGAGTGTCATTTGGAAACATCATCCCGGCCCAGCCTCTGCAGAGTGGGGCCCATGTGGCAGGTGTCCCAGGTCTGGGAGAATGTCTTTAGGAAGTTCTCCAGGCGGCTGGCCCTGTAAGCACCTGTGGGAACCCAGGTGTTCTCTGGCCTTCACTTGGGCTTCTGCAGGTCGTCAGGCCCGAAGGAGTTAGGCAGCAGCTCCTCGACTGTCTTGACCATATATGTGCCATCCGGCTTGGCCATGTACACGGCCCAGTTGGTGCCAAACTGGAAAAGAGGCAAAAAAGGAGCATGAGAGGGGCCAGCTGCAGGATTAGGATGGCCCTGGGCTTGAGTCTGACTCTACCACATGCTGTCTAATGCTCCCCTCTATGCCTCCCTTTTCTCATCTGTAAAATGAAAATGACAAGAACTGCACCTGGCTCATGGAGCTTGAAGGAGGAGCAAATAAAAGACTGGTGTTAAACAGTGCAGAGTTTGGCACATTGTTAACAGGCAGTAAATGCTCCTTAAGGACTCACGGGAGGCTTTATAAGAAGGATATCTAACCCCCAGAGCAAGACCTCCTTCTGCTAGGACAAATGACAAGTAACACCTGCTTCCCTTACAGTCTCCTTACTCCTCACACAGGAAAGTTGCGTGCCTGCCGCATGACGCACCAGACGTACGTAGCACATGCGTTGTTTCATTATCTGCCCTTCGAGGTAGGTGCTGTTGTGGTGCCCATTTTGGAGATGGGGAAACTGGGGCTTAGCAGGGTACAGTTGGCAAAGACAGGTGTGTCTTTGCCACACCTGGATCTCTCTCCTACTCTATGAGAGCACCACACGCCTGCTGTGTGACCTTGGCCAAATGGCAAATGACAACTCTTTAGGGTTGGGTGTTCTTGCTCTGTTTTTTTGCTTCTTTGTTTTGAGACAGGGTCTCGCTCTGTTGGCCAGGCTAGAGTGCAATGGCGCCATCATAACTCATTGTAATCTCGAACTCCTGGGCTTAAGTGATTCTTCTGTCTCAGCCTCCCGAACAGTTGGGACTACTGGCGTGTACCACCATGCCTGGCTAGGTAGAGATGGGGTCTTGCTATGCTGTGGAGGCTGATCTCAAACTCCTGGCTTCAAACAATCCTCCCACCTCAGCCTCCCAAAGTGCTGGGATTACAGATGTGAGCCACTGCACCCAGCCTGAAATTGTTTTAGAGATGGGAGAGTGCAGAAAGGTAGGTACAGAGTTAAATTAGCTGTGGCATCGTGGCAGGAGCCCTGCAGTGGGAGTCAGCAGACCCAGGCTCTACCTGGCCAGGTATTGTGAGAGTCAGAAATGATTCATGCAAAGCATCCTATGCCAGTGGCTGGCACATAGTAGGTGCTCAATTAATAGATGCCATTCTTATTGATAATGTTGGTTGCCAGTGACCGCTCCAGTTTGCAGCCTCTTGTTCTTCCACGCTTGATTCTGTCTGAATCACCAGTCATGACCAGGCATCAATTCATCTTCTGGCTTTTATAGAATAAATGTTTTAAGGAAGGAAATTTTTCTGCTTGGCAGGCTCTGCCTGAGGCTATGGTGAAAGTGGAGCGGAGTGGAGCTTAAGTGCCTGGTCCCTTATTTGCATTTTGGTTTCAGTTCTGCCTCTCCCTCCTTCAGCTTTTGCAGCCGCCTTCTCCTCGTTTGCCAACATCTAATCTGTTTGGAGAAAACAGCAGTGAGCAATTGGACCACAAGGGGCCTTGGGAGCCAGGGACTTGGCGCCCTGCCTCGGTTTCCCCACATGACCTTAGGCGTTGCGGCTGTGCGGGGCAGCTATTTCTGCCCCTCTGAATTGAGATGAGTTCCATCGTGTGAATGCAGTGCTTTTCTGGTGGCATTTTAAGTCTGGATTTGGGAGGCGCGCCTGGTTTGCAGTCCTGGCAGGAAGCGGAAGGAAGAGGGAGGCGTTTGCACCCTCTGGAGGCTGTGAACCCCCGGCACAAGCCAGAGCTGACGCCGCCCCCTCTCCCCCAAACGAGAACCGAGAACCGCTCCAGAAGCAGGAACTCCTATGGAACAAGCAGGCATACGGCAGAATACTGTTATGTCTCCTCCGAGGCTGAAAATAATTTTGCTAGTGGCTAGAGCCATAAAGGCAGAGAGGCCGCCGAGAGGAGCGTGGGCTTTGGCGTCGGCCTGAACAGGCCGCAGATGCCAGCTGGACACCGACTGGCCGGGGCCCTGCGGCAGGTCATTGTACTTCTGGGGGCCTCAGAGTACTCGTTCGGAAATGGGAATAACGACACACACTTCCTCGCGGGCTTGGGTGAGGGTTCAGCGAGCCGCTGTGTTTAGAGGGGGCGAGGCTCTCTAATGCAGACCTCTGAGAATCTACAAGAGCTACCGACATTCATCTCCCCCCAACGCACATATAAACATAAACATCTTCCACTGAGCCCAGATTAAGAACCCATAATCTGGCCAAGAGAGGTGGCTCACGCCTGCAATCCTAGCACTCTGGGAGGCCAAGTCGGGAGGATCGCTTGAGGTCAGGAGTTCGAGACCAGCCTGGGCAAGGGGTGAGACCCTGTCTCTACTAAAAATAGGAAAAATTAATTGGCCAACTAAAAATATATAGAAAAATTAGCTGGGCATGGTGGCGCGTGCCTGTAGTCCCAGCCACTTGGGAGGCTGAGGCAGTAGGATTGCTTGAGCCCAGGAGTTTGAGGTTGCTATGAGCTATGATGATGTTGTTGCACTCCAGTCTGGGTGACAGAGCAAGACTCTGTCTCAAAAAGCAAACAAACAAAAAAACTCACCCATAATCTGAATCACGCCTTTGTTTTAGAGTTGAAGCAATTGAAGCCTTCCATCAAGATGACATTTGTGGAAAGTACATCATATCCCTTAAGTCCCATCTTGAAAATATCCGGTGGCTTCCCTTTACTGTCTTTTTTTCCAATTTTTAAATTGGAAAATTTAAATATGTAGTTAATTTAATATGTAGTTAATACAATTTAAATATGTAGTTAAATATGCATAATGTAAAATTTGTCATTTTAACTATGTTTAAGTGTACATTCCCTTAATTTTTGGACTAAAATATACCTTCTGTCCTGTGGCCTGCAAGGTCCAGCCCCTGCCACCACTCTCCCCTCCGCTCCCCGGGCCCTAGCTCCTTGGCCTTCTTGCCGCTTCTCAAGCTCACCAAGCATCTGAGTGTGCAACTTGCTGGTCCCTCCACCTAGAAATCTCCTTCTCTAGACCTTTGTCGATCTCGTCTTTTTTCCTTATTTATATTTCTGCTCAAATGTCATCTTCAAAGAGAGGCCCTTCCTGGCTATCTGATTGACACATCAGGGATGGGCAAACTTTTCTCTGTTGAGGGTCAGACAGTAAGTCTTTTGGGCTTTGCAAGCCAAGTGGCCTCTGCCACAACTGCTCACTTCTGCCGTTGTAAGGCCAGAGCAGCCACAGACAAGAGGGGAATGAATGGGCATAGCTGTGTTCCAATAAAACTTTATTTATAAAAACAAGCAGCACGCTGGATTGGCCTGGCAGGCCGTAGTTTGCTGATCCCTGATCTGCAGGGGCCCCTGCTGCCCTCTGTCACTCAACTCCTTTTCCTGCATTTTTTTTAGTCATTAGCCCTTTTCACTCTCAGAAATGCCACTGCTTATTTATTTTGTCCCTTGCCTGTTGTCTGTCCCTTGCACTAGACTACAAGCGCTGTGAGGGCAGGGCCTGGCCTGTCTTGTCCCTGCCGTGTCCCCAGAGCTTCCTCAGTGTCTGGCATAGAGCAGATACTTGTTAACACTCAATATTTGTTGAACGAAGGAATCATTTCCAGTGATTCATGCAAGGCCCGAGAAGTCGGCCAGCCAAGCAGACGGGACAGTAGCTGTGTCTCCTCGCTGGCAGCTTGGCAGTGTCTCCACGGCCTGGGAAGCACAGAGGCATTGAGTTTGCATTCCGGAAAGCAAGAGAAGCTGGTTACCTCTCTCATGACTTGCCTGCAGGCCCCACAAGGTGAGACAAAATCATCTTGCACGTCACTGGAAAAGCAAAGAATCAAACTCAGTTCAGTCTCTCTGGAGGCATGAGGACAGTCGCTGAGGCCCGGGCCCCTTCCGGGTTAGGCCAAACCCCAACAGGTCGTTCCTGATTCACACGCACACTGTGTCCCAGAGGCTGAGAGGGCGACTTGGCAGCTGTCCACACTTCCACGGGGCAAGGCCACGGGCAGGGTTCCCATGAGCGCACTTAATAAACATTTAGTGAGCACTTACACTCACCCATATCCTGGGAATACGAAGGATGGGGAGAATTTGTCTCTGGCCTTCAAGAGATTGTTCAGCCCAGCGGGTGACCTAGAGGACTAGGCAAGTTGTCATTTTATATAAAATACAGTAACAAGGAGGCAATCCCTGCCTAAGGAGTGAGAAAGAGTATTGTATAGAGGAGGGGACATTTGGCCCAATCCTCAAAAGAAGTGCAGAATTCAGAAGTCACCATTCAGGGAACACCCGCTATACACTAAGCTCTGTACCAAGCACTCAACATTTGTTATTTCATTGAATTCCAGAACAGCCTGGATGTCAGAATGGCCATTTTACAGGCGAGGAAACAGGGTCAGTAAGATGAAGTAACAGAGAAGCTATTCTGAGGCCCAGGGTTTTTCTGTGTTGCAGGTAAAGAAAATAAACAGTATGTGCAAAGGCCCTGAGGCATGAAACAATAAGGTGCATGAGAATCAAAAAGAAAAATGGGCTCCTTGCAAGGGAGAAAGGCAGGAGAAGACAGGATTATAGCCAGGGGTTGCCTGTGAGAGATTAGGCTCCTACAGGCAGGCTCCAGCTCTGAGCAGGACGGGGGATGGTGCCTAAAGAAGGCGGGTTGAACAGTAGGAACCTCCAACCCTGCTGGAGCGCGAAAGGTTAAGCCAGCAGCCACCCTCATCCTCGCTCTTCTGGACCCACAGCTCTACAACATCTCTGGAAGAACAGGGGACTGAAATTTTGATTCTTAGTTGGTGACTCTTTTTGCTATGTGTGACTTTGCCTGAGTCATTTTAACCTATCCGAGGCTCCTTTCTTTGCCTGTTAAATGGGGACAATAATGTCGTCTACTCTTTCGGAATGCTAGAAGATAAAATGAGGTGTACGGGAGGCTTTGTGAACTTTAGAACGCTGCACACACACTGTTCTTGCCTGTACTGCTTCCTGGATACTTCTTCCTTTACATATATACTCTCTGTCGTAATTTTAGTGCTTTGTCATATACGGTTTTGTTATATGCCATATGATTTAAATATTATTTTATAATTTATCTTACTATATATTAACAATAATTGTTATATTGTTTAACGTGTACCTAGAATGTGCCAGGCATCCTACAAAGCACTTTACATGCCCCATCTCATGCCAACTGGCAAATATTAATATTTGTTGAGCACCTACTATGTGCCAGGCGCTGTCATTGGTGCTGGAGGTACAGCAGTGGACAAAAAAGACAAAGTTCACTGTGCTCGAGAGTTTGTAGACTGGGGAGGGGACCAGACAACCCATCCACCAACCAACCGTTAGTCAAGAGAGGTCGGGACACGTGCTAAGAACACAATCATAAAGCCGCTCAGTATGATTTTATTTAACCCTCATGACAAGTACGTCATGGGGGTCCAGTCAAAGAAAGGTTCTGCGTCACAGAAAGGTGGGGTCCTGTCTGAGCATACATCCAGCTCCAGAAGGAAAGCCCACAGGCCCGTGAGAGGGTGAGGAGCCCTGCCCAGGGTGCCCACGGAGCCAAGGTGACCCTTGTAATCACTGGGGGACAGCTGGTACAGCCTGGGGCCTAAGCTCCTTGGAGGTTGGACTCTGTGCTATTTGTCACTCATCCCACACAGGTCGACAAAAGTCTGCTCCATGCCAGGCAGGTGCGGGAGAGGAGCAAGCAAAGACCGACGGGAGAATCCTGCCTTCAGGACCTTTCCATCTGGAGGGGGGACATAAGATCGTCACGTAACAAAGGCAGACGGTGGCCAGGGCCCTGAGATTCCGCCTCCCTTCCATGGCCTGGGAGGCCCCAGCTGAGCTCGCTGCTTCCTTGCTCAGTCTTGTGGCATATGTGGCCCACTGCCCAGTGGACAGCTCCTGGAACAAGGTGACCCACTTCCCAGGGGACAGCTCCTGGAACAAGGTGACCCACTGCCCAGGGGACAGCTCCTGGAACAAGGTGACCTGCATCAGGGTTTTCAAGATGGGCAAACATATGTTCTACTGGGAAGTTAAATCTGGCCATAGGTTCCACCACCAAAAGTCACAAGATGGTGCTTCTAGACAGCATTGCTCCAGGTTGGGGACACAGCCCGATTGTAACGATGGCTTGCACTTCCATTGCACTTCTGTGTGCCAGGCACGGTGCTGAGGACCTAGTGTATTAGCTCATTGAATCCCCCAACAACCCTGTGAGGGGCAGGGGTGTGCAGGAGCTCTTACTGTCTGCATGTTATAGATCGTGAAAGGGGAAGGGACTTGCCCAAGGTCACAGAGCTAGTAAGGGACAAAACCAACATCAGAACCCAGAATCTATGCATTCTGCCTGTGATAGTTCTGTGGCTTGCAGCAATAATAATGATAACGTTAAAACAGTGGTTTTAATTTATGACATGTTCAGTGCCAGGAACTTTACAGAAATCATTTCATGAGTCACCACGACAGATCAATCTCCTCCATTTTGCAGGCTCAGAGGGTCTAAGCAACGTGCCCGAGGTTGATGATGCAGGAACCTGGTCGTCCAACCCAGAGCCTGGGCTTCTAACCATTACTCAGTATTCCTGCCAAGAGTGAGCACTAAAAGCCAGAATGCTCTGGCTGCATCAGGACATTTCTTCACGCTTCCTCTTTCCTGCCTCTCCCCCGACTTTCATCCTGTCCTGCTCTTTGCTGGGTATTGACAGTTTTCTGTGGTTTGTGCTGACCGTGGTCACACACTGAGGCCATGCTTATCAGATGCCACAGCTAGAAACCGATTGCCTCTGATAACTACAGCCAGAACGCAGTGGGACAGGCTTATCTCTCTGCTTACAAAGTCCCATCCTGGGCTCTGCAGACACGTGTCTTTCCCGAGTGCAGTCTCCATCCTTAGAGATCTCAGAGGGGCTCTCTTAGACCGTTCAGACCCGTGCAATGTTAATAAGGGAGTTGGCACTTCCCATTCACGCTCTAAATCCGTGCTCTCAATTTAATAAATCATTAGTGCAATAATGGCTGCATTTCTGGCTCGGGGAAGCCAGTGCAGGCTGAATACCCAGAGAAGAGCAGTTGGATGCCAGAAAAAATGCGGTTTTGTGTAAATAAGGACATTTGCTAATCATTGCTAGTGATTCAGTCGTGTTTAAAGACAGAGAATGACCAAGAGAAAAAGCCTTTCATTTGGAAAATTCTAAGCAACGCGAGGCATCATTATCCTTTGGTTGACTTTGGCCTCTTTTTCCCCAGAATATCATTATTTTCTTGGATCAGCCTTTAAATTGAATTATTTCCTTCCATTTTTTTCATAAAGTGCAAGTCACATCCTGATCTCTGCTCATCTGCACAAAATGTTCCCAGCACAGCCTCGTTTATCCCTCCTGGAGCCAATGGGAAGCTAGAACGGACCTTGGTCACAGGGAAGGCTCTCAGTGCTGGGGACTTCTCCTTAAGTGCACCCTGGGCTCCACGCACTAAGCAACAAACCCTGAGTAAGCTGGACCACCCTGGGGCCAGATCAGGGCAAAGCCTGGGATCTTAGCAAACACATGTGGACCTGTTTCTGTCGCACTGCCCCGTCAGCCTTGCTCTAAGCCCCTGCATTTCCGCTGCGTGTGTTTCAGCCAGAAAGGTGCTGGGGCTATGCCACCAGGAATTATCTCCACTGGGAGTGAAGGGATAAGTCCCTCATAGGATGTGATCCATGCCGCCAGGTGTCCCTAAGGACCCATACTTGGCCAGGCGCAGTGGGTGGCTCACGCCTGTAATCCTAGCACTCTGGGAGGCTGAGGGGGGTGGATCGCTTGAGGTCAGGAGTTCAAAACCAGCCTGAGCAAGAGAGAGACCCCGTCTCTACTATAAATAGAAAGAAATTAATTGGCCAACTAATACATATAGAAAAAATTAGCCGGGCATGGTGGCACATGCCTGTAGTCCCAGCTACTCAGGAGGCTGAGGCAGCAGGATTGCTTGAGCCCAGGAGTTTGAGGTTGCTGTGAGCTAGGCTGACCTCAAGGCACTCACTCTAGCCTGGGTGAGACTCTGTCTCAAAAAAAAAAAAAGACCCATACTTGGTCAGCCAGGCAGCCTCTTTCTGTGTGGGTTAAACATTTCCCATGTCATTTTTCTTGCACCATTACTTATTCACCAAGAAAACTCTGTGTCACAGACAATGCAAAAGTATACACAGGAGCAATTTGCCATTGAATCATTAAAGTAATGGGGCCCAAATTAGTAAAAGAGCTCATTTACATGCTTGAATCCTGAAACCACTGAGTCTGGGCTCAGGGCCAAGAAGGATGCATCATGCTCCCTTGGAGGGTGAGCACGTGAGAACTAGGATGTTTACATTTGGGGCATTTAGAGAGAATTGAATGTTGCTCCTGTTCTGCCAGAACCTGGGCAGGTTAGTTTGACCCATAACCCGTGTTTACCTGGCTGTCACCCCAGGTATGCAGGTTGTCCTTGCATCCTGGCTCTGGCACCTAGAGGCGAGTCTTGCGGAATGACGGAATCAGCGGTGCTGAATGACTTGTTCAAGATCGCAGGATTAGCTCAGGAGAGCAGGGAAGTGTGTGATCTGGCACAGCAGGTGCAGTGGAACGAACCCTGCAGCGAGGCTCTGAGACCTGGGTTTTGTCCTGGCTCTGCCACTAACTCCCAGGAAAGTTGCTCATCTTAACTGGGCCTCAGTTTCTTTAGCTGCATTTTGGAGGTAGTGACCAGGGAGTCTATACCAGGTGAGTTTTAGGTCCCTCCAGGTTTAGGTTGCTATCCTGCCTTCCCATTGTAACTTATAGGGACCCTGCTGTACTTTGTGTTGCAGGAACAGAAACACACAGACCCTTGCATGAGAGTGGCCGTGGTCGATTACTTGCTCTGCAGGTTCACTGAGGGCAGAATCCATTTTTTATTTAATTCCTTATCCTCAGCACTAAGACCAGGGCCCTATACAGTGCCTGGCACATAAGAAGTGCTTGATAAACAAATATCAGATGAATGAATAATTGAATGAATAACAGATGTATGGGGGATGCTGGCTGAAGAGATGAATGAATACTGCTGTGACCTGGCTTTCCCTCTTACCTGGCAACAGCCATTGCCCTGAAATCCTTGTATCCTTCTGAAACGGCCTTCTGGATGGCGGTCCGTTCCGCACAGATGGTCAGTGGGTAGCTGGCATTTTCGATGTTGCACCCTGAGAAGAGAGAAGAGCCCGGTGGTGCGACCAGCAGAACCACTTCCTGTTGCATGTGTTGAGTACAAAGCTTGCCCCATTCCAGCCCAGGGAGGGACCAGCTGCTCTGGGCAAGGCGGGGAGAAGGAAAGGGCGATCTGACCGGAAGCGCTGGCGGACTCTTTGGCCCATGGTGGTGGCCCTTGCCAAGAACCTCTCACTGTCTTCACTTACCCAATGCCTGCAACTTGAGGCACAGCCTGGGAGCAGGGGCAGCACCACAGGGCAGATTAAGCAGCCTCCCCACCTTGCAGAGGTCAAGGCCAAGGGAGATGCTGAGGTGTACGAAAGTAAGCAAAGCCACCAGGCCTGGACCTAAGAGATGGAAGCCATGGCATGGGGTCCTGCTGTGATCTGAGTGTTTGTATCACCCCGTCTCAAATTCATATGTTGAAATCCTAAACCCCAAGGTGATGGTATTAGGAGGTGGGGCCTTTGGGAGATGATTAGGTCATGAGAAGCAAAGAAAGGGGACTAATGTTCACAAATAGATCGGTGCCCTTATAAAGCCAGGGAGCTGGCTTGCCCCTTCCACCATATGACGACATAGCGAGGAGGTGCCATCGATGAGAACTCGGGCCTTCACCAGACACCGAATCTGCTGGTGCCTTGATCTTGGACTTCCCGGCCTCCAGAACTGTGGGCAATACATTTCTGTTTATAAGCTATTCAGCCCATGGTATTTCGTTATAGCAGCCTGAAGGGGCTAAGACAGGTCCTGATTCAAAGTTTGAGCCTGGACAGGATTTTTGGTGCTAGTTACTGGCTGTGAGAGTTCAGCCAGGGTTCAGCCAGAGTTGTGTGGCTTAACAAACAAACTGTCCAAACCAACTAACAACTAAGTCAACGAGCGAACAAAAAGCTCCCACGCTTTGCGGAAAGTGCTGGTGACTGCACAAGCCTTCGGGCGATCGTCAGGCCTCCAGCGGGAGGTGCAGCTGCTAAGGTGGCCCAGCCCTCGGTCAGGGAGTCCTCCGTCCTGTCCCTCTCAGGGGTGTTCCTGGGGGACGATGAGCCAGGGTTGCTCCCAGGAGACACGACGTTGGCGTAGACAGATTGGCTGGCTGAGAAACCCCCGATCTCCGGGGAAGAGAGTCCGTGAACAAATGGCACGGGATCTGGGCTCTCCCCTGGTCATGACGATGTGGTGCGTGGTCTGTCGCTCCTTGTGGCTTTGCAGCTTGCCCTCCTCCCTGAGGCAGAGACATTGATTGTCTCCCGTGTTCACTTCCTATTTCTTCCTTTAAGTAACACAAGTGACCTGCATTCCAGCAAGGCCACTCAGTGAGAGACTATGACTCCCTTGCAGCATGCTGTGGCCAAGTGCCTGAGTTTTGGCCAGTGGCATGTGGCCCAAAGGCATGTGGGGAACATCTGGATCACATTTTTTTGCAGAGAAATCGCTTTCCTATTACTCCCTCTCTTTCCCCCTTCCACTGGCCGGATGGAGGAGGTGGCAGGGTGGGACAGCTTTGAGCATGTGGTTTTCGGTCACAGGAATCGGAGGAGCGACAAGAGAGAAGGGACTTGGGCCCCTGGTCAACTGCTGGGGTGGGGTTGCCGATTTGCCCAGGGCCTACTGCTCACTCTGGCTTGTAATGTGAGAGAAAACCAGAATTCTGTCGTGTCTGAGTCACCGTAGTTTGCAATCTTTTGGTCATAACAGTATAACCTATATAGCTAACTAATACAGAAATTTGTGCTGAAAATGAGATGCAACTTTAATGAAAACAATCTAAAAATTGTGACGGTGACTTAGCGCTTGGGCAGCGTGGCTGAGGAGCAGAGGCGAGGCGAGATGGAAAGCTGGCGGCCCTCGTTAGTCGGCCACTCTGCAAAGCTCCATGCTGCGGTAACCTGGAGACTCGGGGAGGGGCCGGGCAGGGGAGCCGCTTAGCGGAAGGGAGAGCTGGCCGGCTTAAGAATGGTGCCCAGGGCCGGGCGCTGTGGCTCACGCCTGTAATCCTAGCTCTTGGGAGGCCGAGGCGGGCGGATTGCTCAAGGTCAGGAGTTCAAAACCAGCCTTGAAAGAGCAGAACCCGTTCTACTATCAAATAGAAAGAAATTAATTGGCCAACTGATATATATATAAAAAATTAGCGGGCATGGTGGCGCATGCCTGTATCCCAGCTACCTGGGAGGCTGAGGCAGAAGGATCACTCGAGCCCAGGAGTTTGAGGTTGCTGTGAGCTAGGCTGACGCCACGGCACTCACTCCAGCCTGGGCAACAAAGCGAGACTCTGTCTCAAAAAAAAAAAAAAAGAATGGTGCCCAGAAGGATCTCTGGGCCCCCTGGGCACTCCTGTATGGAAGTGACTGGAAGCAGAGGCTCAGGAGGCTTTTAAGTTTTTGACACAATCGGATAGCCCAAGAAGCCACAAGCTGGCCTGTGCAAGCCTGCAGTTGCTCAATCTCTAGAGTAACCCTGGGCCCCAAACTCAGCAAACATGCGCTGAGAGACTGTGCCCCAGGAGGCATTCTCGTCAGCACCCGCTGTAGAGGTGGGGCCCCACCGAGGATGACAAGGGTCAGGAAGAGACTCCCAGAGGACAGTGGACAGGGCGGCCCCAGAGCAGGAAGGCGAGGAGCGTAAGCCAGGACAGGGCCCCTCGCACCTCCTGCCCAGCGCGCGGGACTGCCGTGGGTCCCTGCTCTTCCTTTTTCCTAATGGCAGATTTTACTGTCGACCCCTTCCTACCCCACCGTTGTATCCTGCAGGAGGGGTGTGAAGGGGGGCATAGATCATATTTTTACAGGCCACTAGACCGGCACAACCACGTCTGGACCGGAGGAAGAGGGCGTGGGGCTCCGTGAGCCCTGCGCTTAGAGCTGTGTGCAGGGCCTGGGTGGACATTCGGCAGGCCTCCCTTAGGGATGAAAGGGGCGCCTTGCAAAGATAACAGGAAAATACCTAATCCACACATCTCCCCAGGAACAGTTAGAGATCTGTCCTGTGAGTCCTCACTCACAGGCACCTGCAGGAGTTCAGTCGGAAGGATCTGAATAAAAGAAAAGAGATGTCAACCTCTCCTTTCAAATGTTTGGGGATCTGCTTTTTTGCAGTCTAAAGAGTTGCTGATCGAGCAGCAGGGTGCGCGCTCTAGCCTCGGCCACATCTGGAGGACAGAGTCACATCTCTGCGATAATCCTTTCCAAGGAAAGGCAGGACGCTTGGACTTTGACATCCTCGCAGTGTTTGTCTACCTGCCGCAAGAAGGAAGGAGCTGAGGCAGCAGTTCTCGACTGCACCTGCGTCTACAACCCCTTTAAAAAACCTCAATAGCTGGTTTTCCAGGAGCATTCTTCCTTTTCACCTCCGTGCAGGTCCTCCCCCCAACCCCCACTCCAGGGAAAATAAATAAACCCTTTCTCTATCCTAGTCTTTGCTGTCTGCAGAAATCTTCTCAACCCGCCTGCACTAGCTCTCCGCCTAATATCTGGTGGCCTCAGGGCCTAAACTGAGTCACTTCTCTGCCTCCACACAGAGAGAAGTCACTTTGCTCCCCATGAGGACCGTCTCATCCTCTCATTTTTCTACCTCCGGATGGGAGCCACTTCAGTCTTCAAACTGCTCCGTCCTTTTGCAACCCCATAGGACACCCCTTCGGTGCCTCCAGTATCATCGGAATCGCTGAGTCTCCTGGTCTCTGAAACTCGGGGAACGGTCCAGGCGCAAGGTGG